AGGGGAAGGAGGCAGGGAGGCCTCCCTGGAACTGTCACTAGGCTCTTGGTGCAAGGAGCCAACAACAGATGAGGTCTGGCTATGCTTTAGGTTTGTTGTTGTTGTTGTTTTGGGTTTTGTTTGTTTGTTTTGTTTTGTTTTCCTCTGTGTCCTAAAACTTTGTACTTGGCTCAAAATGTGAAGAACAAGAGTTGGCATCCTCCAGAAAAAAAGTTGTCTGTGGTTAATTGGGACCATAAAACTTCAAACCCCAGAGAGCAACTGAAAAGAAACTGAACTGTGTATATTTATTTATTTCCTGCATTTTTCTGTCCAAGCACATGATTTCTTGAAGCTGACTCATGCATGCTTGGTAAGCCAGGACTGTCAGCATTTCCTTCCCATGGCTCGCACGGGCCATTTTTTAATCTTTACTAAAACAGCATAATTGGCCCCAGGAAGCTTGAGGACAGCCGAGCTGTGACCCTACAAGGCGACTGCCCAGCCCTGACTCAGGCAGGGCACGCAGAGTTGAGAATGACACTGTTCTTTCACAATTTCAGCGTCATTCTGATGCCTGGGACCACTGGTAGCACCAGCACCGGTCACCCCAGCTTGCCTGGTTGGGGCTGGCCTGGCCAGGGTGGACAACAGTCAGTGACAGCCATGGCCAGGCAGGAGGGCTGAGCAAATAAATAGGGAAAGCTGGAGAAACCAGCTCCAATTCCTCCCTGATTAGTCACCACTTCTAGCTCAGTGCTGCCTAACTCAGTCCAGAAGTTTCGTTTCCTTTTCTCCAGTTACTTTTACTTTCCAGTTTCTACGCTGAATAGACTCGGAAGGCAGCTGTTTTACTGGCATCTTATCTCCTGTGACAGACTGGTAGTCAGACAGAGAGCCAGTAGTTCAGCTTTTTTTTTTTCAAGGAAAACACTTCTAGTTCCTATGATTATGGAGCAAAGCTCATCTTATGGCTCATACTTAGCTTTTAATGCAAGCACATACTGAAAAAACAAAGCAAATAAAAATATCCAAAGCCTCTTTGCTCAATAACCACACTTGACTCCATGATTTCACGGGAGCTTGCTGCTTTCTTGGCTATTTAAATTTTTAAAGTCACCCACATTTACTGATCCTGCTTTCCACAAGCTGCAGGTCCAACACCAGACACCAGAGTTGCCTGTTGCTATAAGTATGTTGTGCCTACTTGTTGTGCGTCGCCATGAGGACAGAAGGCCTAGGGAACATGGCACTTTGGCCCATACGGTTTGCTTCACTAAGAAGGTGTCATTGCACTGTCCCTGAACCCCTCTCTGTGGCCAGAGTCCTCTGTAGATCTGGGTCTTCCAAGTGAAAGCAATACATGGGTTCATGTCCTACCAAAGGTCTACACGAACCATGTGACGAATGCAATGGCCCTGACCCAGAAGCCCTGGTCATTTCCAAAGTTACTCATAGTGTCTAAGTTGGTTCCTTAAAAATTAAAGCAGGCACCTGCCTTGCACTCCTGGGTTTTCATCCGTTCTGCTGACTCACATTTCTTCACTTGTTCCACTTCCTTGGAAAGATTCTCCAGGGATTTCTGGAGTTTGGCCTGAAAAGGCAATAAACAGGGTCAGAGTCCCCAGCCCGCGGCTGCCAGCGGCCGAGGGCAGAAGGGGGGAGCTGCGGTGCTGCCAGGCGATGCCTCCCAGCGCATGCCAGCCCCGGCCCTGCAGCCAGCAGCTGTGCTCTTCAGTCCCCTCGCAGCGTTAACCCTCGCCGCGCTGCTCTGCTGTCCTCAGACTTTCCTCGCTCTTGGGGCTCGGGGAGCAAACATGCAAGCTGGCGCTCACCACCTTGCGCTGCTGGGATGTAGGGCAGCTGCCATGCACTGTCCTGCCTGGGGCGCCCCAGCAGTGCCACCAGCGTGGTGGACCCAGTGGAGAGGGGTGGCTCCCGGCCCTGGCACTGCCACACCATATAGCCCATGAGCTGCTGGGGACGAGCTGCCTGCTCCGCCAAAGTCCAGCTCCCCGAGCACAGCAGAGCACCCTGAGGTGCCGAGGGCCATGGTGCCAGCCCCACACGAGGGCCAAGCAGGTGCGAGGCCCAGCACCCCTTCCACGAGTGAACACCAAGTCCTCGTGCCGCAGGGCCTCCCCTACCTTGTAGACCTGCGCGGCCTCCTCAATGGGGTAGACGGTGTGAGGACGGTGCTGCAGGGATTCCCTGCACACCACGCAGATGGCCTCTTCGTCCTCCTCGCAGAAGAGCTTGAGGCGCTCGTCGTGCGCGGCGCAGAGCAGGGTCCCCGCGGCCGGGCCGGCCGGCAGCCCCAGCTGCCGAATGCTCTCCACGATGTTGGCCAGCTGCCGGTTGGGGCGGAAATTGCTGCGGTGGCAGGTGGCCCGGCACTGCGGGCACAAGAAGGGTCTGTCGGCCCAGAGCCCCTTCTCCTGGCAGTGCTTGGCGATGCAGTCACGGCAGAAGTTGTGCCCGCAGTCGACGCTCACCGGGTCGCTCATGTACTCCAGGCAGATGGAGCAAATGGCTTCCTCGTGCAGGCGCTCCAGTGGGCTGGCCAGGGCCATGGCAGCGGCGAGGAGAGAGCCAGTGCCAGGTCTGTCTGGCAGGGCTGGCCGGCCGGGCAGGCGGGCTATGGAAATGTCCCTAGAAAGCCCAGGCCTCCGGGACACGCCTCGGGGACCGCTGCCGGCCACCCGCACCCGCGCTGCCACTTCCTCAGTGGCACCGGCCTCACCGCCTGCTTACATAAGCGCGGAGCATTGGAAGGCTCCGTGCCGGCTCGGGGAGGAGCGTGCAGTGCACGAGGGACACCCGCGGGCAGCCTTAAAGGCGAGCGCCTTGCTCTTACCACGGGCACATTGAGGAGAAACAAAAAGCCCTGCGGGAGGAAAACCAGGCCAAATAAGGAAGTGTCTGAAATAATCATAGCCCCAGGCACCTGGAAAGTCAGGTGAGACGTGGGCATCGCTGCTCTCTCTGACCCGGTGCTGATCCAGGGAGAACTGCAGCAAGGTACCAGCGGAGCAGCCCGCAGGGACCCCACTGCATTAAAACCAGCCACGGGAGCCCAAGCATTTCTGCTCTGGTTTCTTGTCACGATTTCTTCCAGCGCCCTTTCCGAGCTCAGTAACTGAGCCTAACCAAACTGTCCTGCCACTCTAAGTTATGTTAATTGCATGTATTAAGAGAACTGCAGGCTGAGTTATTTAAATGCAAAGTGCTAATGCAGAGGACAGCAAAGCCATGGCTCATGCAGGTCTGCAGGTGGTAGGAGAGTCCTCACAAGGGCTGTCCAGAATGGGAAGGAGCCAAAAGAACCTGGCAATGATCTCTGCTGGCAAAGGCCTGATCCCTGCATTTCAGCCAATCGCCTTTTCCCTGCCTTGGCCACAAAGAGTGCAGGTTGGCTCAGCTGGAAACACTCAAAAAGCCTTTCCAAAGGTGTCAAGGGCCCCTGTGCCACTTGAATCCTTAAAGCATGAGCAGAACGCAGTCGTGGTAAAGCATTCTGAGACCCCAAGGAAAAGTTGCTCTTTTGCTCTCTTTTATTATACAAAAATAACTTAAACACAATCACAACAAATAGAATTAAAAGCTTGATAGAAAAGACAAATAAATTAGAATGCCTTTGTATATACTTAAATAAAAAACCTACATGCTCACAGTCTAACAAAATTCACAGGCAATAAGAAAACGTGGACATGTTCAGGAGGGATTTGTGAGCACAGGCTCTCTTGAGCAGGTGATGTTTGCAGTGACTATGGTGTTGTGTTCCCATTGCCTGCCTGGTCCTTTAGATGTTTCATGATATGCTGGACCCACTTGTCTTCGGGGTTGACACACTGCAAGTGTCCTTTCATTGTGGTAAATCTGCAGGAAAAAAAAAAAAGTCCTATCAAAAGAGCAGGAGAGAAGAGGAGCCCATGCTCAAAGGATGGTCATTAGGGGTGGGAAGCGTTACAGCAAAGCACAGTGCCGAGCACCCGCCTGCTTCTGCTGCCAGGGCATCTCCTGGACCAGGCACCTCTAGAGCTGCCAAAGAGCCCCAAGAGAAATACAGGAGGACAGTCACAGTGTCATTACCAGCCTGCTATTTTCTTGGGGAAGAGAGCCACCTTCATCCCCCACTTGCCTTCTCCAGACAGGAACCATCCTGCATGTGAGCCAACCACTATCTGTTGGCAGGATGGGGTATGCTGTAGGGTTCTGTGGGGCTGACGCGTTTCGGGAGGGCAGGAGGCCCAGGGCTTGGGCAAGAGACCTGGAGATCTACTTACATGACGCCTGGCTGGGAGCAGTGGCCATTTGTGTACTTGTACGCGTTCACAAATATGTGGGGAATCTCTCTGGTGAGATATTGCAGGCAACAAGGGCCAGAAACATGGCCAAGAGCTAGAAGAGAAGAGACATGTTGTGATGTAACCACACTGGGGAAGCATCACCAGGGAGAAGCAGGTTGCAGGAAGACATGGGTCCTACTGAAGGAGATGCTGCTCTCACCATCCTCTCCCAACACATCCTCCCCTCAAAAGAAGGCCAGATGAGCTTGTCCTTTGCTCTGGTAGAGGCTCTCAAGGAAGATGCTCTCAAGCATTGCTAAGCCTTATAGGCAAGTGAGAAAGAGAAGAGAACCCTCCAAGAGGAATGTTTGGACTTACCTGGTGAAGATGAGGCCTGGTAGCAGAAGGCAGCCACACAAAGAACAGCAAGGGCCACTGTGAAGGACTTCATGCTCCTGCTGGGTGAAGGCAAAGAGTGGGAGCAGGTCTAGAGCAGGGACTGCTGCTGCACTTGCTGTGACTCACACTGTATTCCTGGGTTCTGCTCTCTTTTATAGAGAGAAAGGGGCGAA